ACATTGCAATTACTCTAGGCCAGTGATGGCGAACCTTTTGAGCTCGGCGTGTCAGCATTTTGAAAAACCCTAACTTAATTCTGGTGCCTGACATATAGAAATTTTTGATATTTGCAACCATAGTAAAACAAAGACTTATATTTTTGATATTTATTTTATATATTTAAATGCCATTTAACAAAGAAAAATCAACCCAAAAAATGAGTTCGCGTGTCACCTCTGACACACGTGTGTCATAGGTTGGCCATCACTGCTCTAGGCTCAGTCGGGCCGGGAGGAGTCGGGGAGGGATGGCTATTTTTTCTTGCCTCGCTGGGAACAAAGGAGTTCTGAGCGTTACCCAGTCGCTGCGGAGGCAGGGCGTGTGTGGGACAGGGGGCAGGATCTGAACTTCAGCCCTGTCCTCTGCGCTTTCTTTCCTGGTGAGAGCCTGGGACACCCTTGCTCTAGGGTTTGCCCTGCATCCAGCCAGCCTACCAGGAGCAATCATCTCGTTGGTTCCTGGTGTATGGAAACAAAGCTGATTCCATTTGGTTCCTTGCACTTAGATTAGGAAGAAAGTGTGAAGGGAGAGAGCGATGAGAGAGGCAGGCCCCAGGCAGGCAAGGTGGGCGAGCGCCTGCTTTGGGAAGTCTGGAAGGGCTTGGGTGTGGCCACTGGGCCTGCCAGGGGCAGTGGACAAGATGGCCTCCTGCCACCCCTCTGCAGCCGTTGCTCGGCAACCTTGTTGGGTGCATTTGGGAAGGACGGGAAGGATGGGAAACTGAGTGCGCATGAGAGAGACCAAAACCCTTCACAGGGCAGGCCAGGGAGCCAAGAGGATGGGGCAAAACTGCCCAGCTCATCTCACAGAGGCTGAGTTTGGGGTGACGGTGGGCTCATGCGGGCGTCTTGGGGAGAAGAGAGGAAAGGAGGGAGGAAGAAGACTTGTAATAAATATTTGTGAGTTAGTCATGATCACGTACGCAAAGGAAAAGACCTCAGTTTGGGAGTCAGAAAGACCTGAGTCTGCAGTTATTTCGTAAGCTCCAAAGCCTCAGTTTTTTTCATCTGAAAAATGGCATAGTAACTGGACTGTTTTGTGACTGGCTTGTTATAGAGTGTGGTACCTGGCAGGGACCCCATAAATACTGGATCCCCAAGTCTCCAGTCCTCAAAAATGTAGCTTTATCTCCCACAGAATGGCAGGCATAGAGGCAAAGACCTAAAGCACAAAGGCTGGGGTGGAGGCTGAGGTAACTGAGATCCACAGAGAGGGGGATGGAGCAAGAACAGTCAAGCCTTGGGATTGAACGTGGGGCTGCTCCCTGTCTGGGGGAAGAGACACGGAGCCCAGGAAGCAGCAAGTGGAGAAGCAGGAGGAGCACCGGGCCTCGCCGTGGAGTCCCGGACTCCGCACGCATGTGTTATATCGAAGTAATCCTCATTGCTAATAGCGATATTAGTGAGGACCGGATGCACCTGAAACACGAGTTTGGCAGGGCCCCGGAATCAGGGTTGGCTGGGGACAGGCTGCCAGAATTCTAAGGGCCACCTCCCTGAGCCAGGGCTTGGCCTCCCATGCCTTCTCAGCTCCCTGCTCTCAGCTCCTGGCACCAAGGCTCCCTGCTGCTGCCCTCTGGGCCGGTGCCCACTGTGGCGTCCCCTGGCTCCTGACCTTGACAGCACCGCCCAGGGGTATGGTCCCTCCTGAAGGGTCTCCACACGGCTCTCCCAACGCTGAGGAGGGCCCCTCCTAGCAGGGGGCACATACACGGGAGAATGATCTAGTCATGGAACTGACCTCCTTCAGCTCACTACACCCCCCACCTTCTCCCTTTCTCCTCCTGTCAGTCCCCACTGACGCCCTCGGTCTGGGCCCTCCCCTTCTCTTGCCTGGATGCTACCCTAAGCCTGGTGGCCCGTCCTGCCAGTGACTCCGGAATTGGCTCCATGGCTTTTCAAATGCTGGGGTCCAGCCCCAGCCCCTTTGCTAAGGCTGTTGGCCTTGCCTGTCTCTGTCCCTGTCCCTCGTCCTCTGTCACCCTCCTTCTCAGGCTGTACAGGCTCTTCACAAAGGCAGGCTTGCATGTACGTCCTGTGTGCTGTCCAGTGCCCACCTGCTCCCGGATAAGGAGGAATGGTGGCTACTGTTACCTTTCCCCGCCCCGGGAATGTCCTGTGAGCTCCGCCTCCAGCAGACTAGACTCCCACGGCGGGCAGGGCTGAGTCACCTTCTTCCCCAACAGCCACTCCCTTAAACAGCGCTGACTTTCCCTCCCAGGAGTGTGACGGATAGAGATTGTACGAAAGACTCCTCCCCAGACCGGGGTGCTGACAAACACCAAAGCTTGTGGTTACTAAGGAGCACGTGATGAAAAAGGCACACAGACCCCCCACCCCCTTCTCAAAAGTCTGGTGAAAACTGCCCGAAAGGTTGGGCTGTGCCCTGGACCTCCTGGCCTGGGAGGAAGGCCACGGCCACGGCCACGGCCACGGCCACGGCCACGGCAGGCAGGGCTCTGCTCCCCAGCTCACCGTGCCTGTTCCTTTGACCCGAGGCCCTTTGGGAGCTCTTCTCTGCCCAGCACGCAGGTTCTCATTCAGTTTGGCTGCACGGGGAAAGGTTGGGCTGTGCCCTGGACCTCCTGGCCTGGGAGGAAGGCCACGGCCACGGCCACGGCCACGGCCACGGCAGGCAGGGCTCTGCTCCCCAGCTCACCGTGCCTGTTCCTTTGACCCGAGGCCCTTTGGGAGCTCTTCTCTGCCCAGCACGCAGGGTCCCAATCAAGTTGATAAGGACGCGAGGGAACGCCATCTCTGGGGGTCACCGCCACTAAAAACTGAGCAACAGGTTCTCGGTCAGGAGCCTCCGCTGCTATAACATTGTTCCTGTGGGGAAACCGGACTTTTCCCTTTCGGCACCACCAGCCTTTCCAGGAAGGGAGCACAGGGTCAGAGAAAGTGAAGAAGAAGGCTGACCCTAACCTCCCCCGCCCCCCCCATCAATCTATCATCAGCATGTCAACAACACCCACATTTATGCACCCAGGCCAGACCTCGCTCCTACATCCCGCAGTCACATATTATGATTAACAGACACCTCAGACTTAGCAAGCCCCCCACACTGCCCCTGGTCCCCCCTCAACCTGCTCCGACCGCCGCCTCCCCCATTTCAGCCGATGGCAATTCTGTTCTTCCTGAGTTCCCATCTTCCTCTCGCCGCTCCCGCCCCCACCTCCAGCCTCCAGCAAGTTCTGTTGGTTCTACCTTCAGAGAAGACCCGCAGTTCGGCCCTCCTCTCTTCCCCACGATTATTTCCCGGCTCCCAGCCACCATCATCTCTTGCCTGGGTTCTAGCAACGGGGTCTCAGCTGATCTTCCTGTCCCTCCCTCCTTCCCCCATTACTCTTTATTGTCAAAGGAGAAGCCAGATACTTAAGTCATTCTTCTGTTTAAAACCCTGAAGTGGCTTCCCATTGTACTGAGAGCCAGGCCGCGGTCCTTACACTGGCCCTCCAGGCCTTCCATGTCACCTTAGGGACCCAAGCTATGGTCCTTCTTTCCCTGGCTCTTCCCACTTGAGCCACGCTGGCTCTTCACTGTTTCTTCAACCTCATCGGACATTTGCTGTGGCTCTTTTCTTTGCCCAGAATAGCTTTCTTTCGGATTTCCAAATGGCTAGCTCCTTACCCCTTTCAAGTCTTTGCTCAACTATCCCTCTGACCCTTGCGCTGTGAGCTCCTCAAGAGCAGGGAACTGGTTTTACTCATTCATGTACCTAAGCTCCAAAACATACCAGGCACATAGTAGGTGCTCAATAAAATTGCCTCAAAGAGTGAAAGAAGATGGGAAGAGACAAAGTGTAGCAGGAGCAGTTAACTCCTCCCCAGGGCCCCCAGGCGGTAGGAAGTTAGTGAGGGGCAGCCTGTTTCCTTGTGGGTGTCCAAGAGGTTCCTAAGGGGCCCAGGAGGTTATCGAAGCCCAGTCAACTGATTTTGCTGCCTGGAAGGCGGGGCGGAGGGTGAGGGGTCTCCAGGTAATAGAGCCTCCCAGCCTGAGACTCTTGGCTTCTTCGGTGGGAGGGATACCTGAATGGTTGCTTATTGCCCACCTGCGTGCCTCCCCAGCCCTGGGCATTGCCCACTGTTTGAAGAGGTGCTTCCTGTGTGTCAGCGGTAAGACTGGGGTATGAAATCTGGCCCGCCCAGGAGCTCCCAGCCTCACTAAGGACACTATGAACCTCATTTGGAAAAACTAAAGAATGATGCACGCGACTGCTGATTCAGCTTCATGCGAGCAGGAGCGTTGAGGCTGTGATCACCCAGGGGAAGGTTTCTGGGAGGAGTCCCTAGGGCGGGCTGTGAGCTTGGCCTGGAGAACAGATGGATAAAGGCCTGTGTTCTAGGCTGGGAAGTAGGGAAGAGCCTGGATAAAGGGACAAAGGGCATGAGTTTGTCAGGTGCTGGGGACAGACAAAAGCTACAATGGGCTGCTAACTGCCGCCATCTCCATCACCAGGCCTCCCGAGGGTAGGGCTGGGGGAGAAGGGAGTGAAGGCCTGTGTGTAGGCTGGAATGGTCCCCAGTGAGGGGTGTGGGTGAGTGTGAAGGGGGTGTTCCTTCCTCCACATTCCAGGCTGAGGGCCCTATTTCTTCAGCCAAAGAATGCCCATCAAGGCCTCATTCCCTACCTTTCTCTTCACCCTCCCTTGACCCTGACCTTGACCCAGGCAGTGAGGGAACACTTTTCTTCTCGTCAGCGTAAGGGACAGAAGGACCGGCTGACGCAGCCCTCCAGGAATGAGGCCCTTCTCTGGGGCCAGCATGAGGCTGTGCTGGTCCCTGAGGCTGTCTGAGGGGGCGGGATGTTCGCTGGGGTCAGGGAGGATGATGGCCACAGCTTCCAGCAACGGGACCCAGCAGACTGCCAGCACCCTCCTCTGCTGGCCCCAGAGCACCCCCGCCCGAAGGCCCTGACTCCTGCTGCCCTGACTCTCTGCCTGCCCTCCCCTTCCTTAGGCAACTCATTGAATATGGGACATATTAGCCCAGAGTGGCTGCAAAGCCAGAGGTATTCTCTGCTACAGCCCTACTCCAGCTGGGAGGCCCCCTGCCTGCAGGCACCAGTCTCCATCCCGGAAACCGTCACCTCCTCACAGGCCAGCAAGGCACCTCTCACAGCCCTTCCACCAGCCACGCTGACCCTCAGCAGCTCCTCTTGAGGACTTCACCACGGAAGGACGCCCCCTAAAGAGGCTCCGTGGCCTCTGCCCTGGCTCCTGTGACTTACCTCTCCGGGACGATCACTCTGTGAGTGGCCGATGCGCTGGCCTTCTGTGTCTGACCACAAACTGTTCCTTTGCTTGGAAAGTCTCTCCTGAGACATCATCGAGAGCTCCACCCAGGCAAACTCTGGGGCTCTGAATGCTGCAGGAGTGGGCATGTGGTGGGGTGCATTCAGAGGCTGCTGGGGCCAAACACATGCCCCCATGGCCACCGAGGCAGCCCCAGCGCTCTGCTCCATCATTAAACTTGAGTCCTGTATGGAGCTGGGCAGACAGGAGTCAGGCCAGCGGGGGAGACGTGCACCAGGCCAGGATGGGCTGCAGCAGCTTGGGCCGAGGGTGCGGTGGAGGACCTGCTGCCCCCACTCAGGTTTCCGGGATGGAGACCAGTGCCTGCAGGCAGGGGGACTCCCAGGTGGAGGAGGGCTGAAGCTTCTCACCCTCAGGTGCAGATGGAAGGACCTGGAATGTAATTCTGAACCTGGTTGCAGCTGTGGACCAGCAGACCTGAGGGTGGAGTGGGGCAGAGGAAACTGGTTTTCTTCCTCAAATTAATTTATTTAAATCAGTGGTTCTCAACCTTCACTGCACATTAGAATCACCTGGCAATCTTTTTAAAATCCTGATTTCTGGGCCTCATCCTCCGGAAATTCTGTTTCTTTGTTACTAATGTTGTGGCTCCACCCCATAACAAAGACAGAGGATTTCTGGGGGATGAGGCCCAGAAATCAGGATTTTAAAAAGATTCCCAGCTGATTCTAATGTGCAGCCAAGGTTAAGAACCACTGATTTAAATGATTGGGTTGCATCATATGAAATTACTTATTCTGACCATTTTTTATTTCTAAAAAGAGCCATTTTCATATGATTCAACCCCATACATTGTTTAGCCTCAACATGTTTTGTTCCTTTAAGGCCCAGTTCCCCGATAACGAAGGGCCAGGTAATTCTTGACTTCACCCTAAATGTGCTCTTCCTTCTGTATTTCTAGTTTGATAAACAGCGCCTCCATCTGCCTAGTTGCTCAGGTCAGACAGCCCTGTATCATCCCTGGCCCCTCCTCACAACCAATAGTCCTGTCTACTCTAGCTCCTAAATATTTCTTGAATGTTCCCACTTCTCACCCCATCCTCACTATTCCAAGCTGTCCTCCCATCTTGCTAGGATCCTGCAGTTGCTTCTTCGTCTTCCTGCTTTCCCTCGCTCCCCCTTCAGTCCATTCTCCACACAGCCAGCCACCAGAGTGAACATTTTAAAATGCAAGTAGGATCATGTCATTCGCCTTCTTTTTAAAAAAGTTGAACATGTTAATCAATTAGTACATGTTTCTTTTTTTATAATATATTTTTATTAATTTCAGAGAGGAAGGGAGAGGGAGCAACAGATAGAAACATCAGTGATGAGAGAGAATCATTGATCAGCTGCCTCCTGCATGCCCCACACTGGGGATCAAACCCACAATCCAGGCATGTACCCTTGACCGGAATAAAACACAGAATCTTTCAGTCCTCTGGCCGAAGCTCTATCCACTGAGCCAAACCAGCCAGGGCTCATTTGCCTTCCTAACACTCGTCAGTGGCCTTCTTTTACATTTAGAATTAAATTTTAGCCCTAGCTGGTTTGCTCAGTGGATAGATTATTGGCCCGCAGACTGAAGGGTCCCAGGTTCAATTCCGGTCAAGGGCATGTACCTGGGTTGCAGGCCCAATCTCCGGCCCTGTGGGAGGCAATGAATCGATGTGTCTCTCACATCGATGTTTCTCTCTCTCTGTCATCCCTCCTCCCTTACCCTCTCTCTAAAAATCAATGGAAAAATATCCTTGGGTGAGGATTAACAAAAACTATAAGTAAATAAATTTTAAAACTTACCACTTTAAATCCTACTGGACTCTGCAGGATCTGACCGCTGTTCTCTCTTCCCAGGGTCTCCCTTGCTCACTACCCTCGGGCCATCGGATCTTCCTTCAGAAGCTCATGTTTGCCAGGATCATTCCAGAAGGGCTCACCCTCAGCATGGCAGGCTCTGCTGACCCCTTCTCAGAGAGGTTCCCGTGTTGCTCCTGCACCAGCTGTGTTTTACTCCCTGGTCATCCTTGCTCACAACCTTCAGTTCTTTTCCTCTATAGAGCTTAGCACACTTTTAATTAAACATTTGTGTGTATTTGTCTACTGTCAGTCTCTCCAAACGAGACAGCCAGCTTCCTAGGTGCCGTGTGTTGCTCACAGCTGCAGCTCTCGTGTCATCGGCTACATGGGAGAGATGGGCTGAGTGATGAGCACTGGGGATGCTCAGTCCTCCAGGAAACCAGGGGCTGTTGGTCCTGGGAGCTTGCTCTGCGTTGTAGGGGATGAGGAAGATCTCAGGTTTAGCAGGTAGATGGGAATCATGACAGAAAAAAGGCCAGGGGAGAGGACCCCATAGTCAGCCCTGCCCTTAACATTGGTACTGATAATGCAAACTAACAGTTTGCTACATAGAACATGTCCTGGCCTCTGACATTGACGAATATGCCTTCACAGTGACCCGGAAGGCCAGATTACACTCAGAGATCTTGGACTCTTTGGATTTCACACCAGAGCTTGGTAGCATAGGAAGAACTGTCCCCCAGCCCCAGGACTGAGGCCAGACCCCTTCTCTTTCACCCACAAATCTCTCCCACACTGTGAAGGGCCTTCATATTTGAGCTCCATGCAGACCCCCAAAGCTGCCCTTAGCTATGCTCAGACCTAGGGGTGTACATATAGGTAGTTTGGAAAGGGGCTTGTTCCAGATTCCTGTGTGGACAGGGAATTCCATGATTCTGGATTCTTAGTGCATTACAGGCCTGGGGCAGGGGCCCTCTTGCCTTGATGGAAGCCTGGTGCTGTCTGCCTTTGGCCTCCTGGGAGTAACTGGCCAGGGGATGGACTGACAGACATCCTGTGTGCTCATCCTTTCTGGACATAGTCTCCAGAGAAATAAACTCTCTACTACCTGCTGCCTGGAGTTCTCTGAGGCTCTGGCTGGCACCTCTGGGCTCCGGCATGCACCCAGCCCCTCTCAGGAGTGCATGGGAGACAGCTCCACACCTTCTCCTTTTCCTGGGTGCTCAGGCCTCAGGGTACCAGGCAAGCCGGGAGCTCAGCCCCATCCCTGCACTCCTGCCCCTTTTCCTGGAGTGGCCAGGCCTGCTGTCAGGCTTGCTGTCATCTTCGTCTCTCACATTCTCGTGTGCCGGAAGCCAGTCCATCCTTGCTGCTTGACACAGTCGCTGCAGGGAAGAAACATCTGCACAGCATATG